GAGGTGGAGGACTTTGTGGACTGGTGTTGGGTTAATGGGCTAATGTTGGACTTGTGGGCTTGGGCAGCATTGGGTTGGGATGTTTTCGTGATGCACCTTTTCTTTACATAAAACTCTCTCTTATACATGAGTCGCTGTGAATTTGTTTCTCCAAAGTACCTAGACTAATACAGAGGTCAAGTTTTTTTAGGAAGTGGTAAAACAGAAATAGTCATCACAAAAAGTTGTTTTGAGATAGAACTGACAAACATGATGTTTTGATTGTGGTTGTTTTTTGTGGGTGAGTTAAGAAGAGGAGAAAGTCAGTGGTGTCTTCGAGAACTGAGAAAATGAATGGATGTTGAAGCTGTTGATTAAGATGAGGAACGTGTCTTTGGGTTAGGTCTGAAGTGTGTGATGATGACACAGTGCCATACTAATTTATTGCTATTTCTGACCAGACTTACTTTCAGTCATCTCTGTTGATCAAATGGTGTCATGTCATTCACCATCAAAAGCAGAACATTATTTTTATAACAGTTTTATATATATATATATATCTTAATACATATAATTCACATTCAGTGGTTTGATTAAAAAGCATTATGCAATCATCACCACAATCATTTTATTCATTTTTTTTCATTTTATTCATTTTTGTACTCATTATTAACTCCCCATTCCCCCCCAACCGCCCCTACCATCACCCTAAGAAACTAGTAATCCAGCTGCTCTCTCCATAGATTTACCTGTTCTGGATTTCATAGAAAGAAAATCACACTTGTGATAAGAGATGTAAGAGCCCCCAATAAAAGTATTTAATAGAGAAAAGAAAACCATACACTGATCCAACAACAATAACAAAATAAAACACAGAAAGCCTTCAATTAAAAAAAAGCAGAAGATAATAAGAACGGAAAAAATGAAAAATAAGTCAAAACATTACCCTTTTTTCTGTCTTCTTTTGAATCTGGAATCCTTTATATTATGGAAGGTCAACTCTCAACTCACTGCAATCAAGTCAATGCTGCCTCATAGCGGCCCCCGGTGGGTTTCCAAGACAGTAACCATTTAAGGGACTAGAAGGCTCAGTCTTTCTCCCTTGGAGCTGGCTGGTGGTTCTGAACTGCCGACCATGCAGATCGAAGCCCAACTCATAACCACTACACCAGCAGGGCTCCTCTATGGTGGAAGGTAACAGATATACTTTCCTGTTTATTAAACTGACACAATTAACTGTGCCGGTTGTTATGCTAGTCTGAGGACTCAAAAGTGAGAAACCGAACAACCACAAACTCACTGCCATTGAGTTGATTCCGACTCATAGTGACCCCACAGGAAAGGACAGAACCTGCCCCTGTGAATTTCCGAGACTGTAATGCTTTATTTATTTATTATTAATAATTTTATTGGGGGGGGGCTCTTACAAATCTTATAACAATCCATCATTCAATTCTATTAAGCACACTTGTACATATGTTGCTGACAACAATTCCAAAACATTTTCTTTCTACTTGAGCCCTTGGTATCAGCTCTTCTTTTCACCCCTCTCTCCCCCACCCTCCTACCCTGGTGAATCCTTGATCAATTATACATTGTTGTTATTTCATGTCTTACACTGTCTGTTGTCTCCCTTCACCCACATTTCTGTTATCCATCTCCCTGGGGGGTGGGCTATATATCTAACTTTGTGATAGGTTTCCCCCTTTCTCCCCACCCCCCACTATCCACCTACCCTCCTGATATTGCTACTCCACTGGTTTTATCTGTCCTGAAGCTCATGTGTGGAAAGCTCTTATCTGTACCAATGTGTGCACTTCAGTCTAGCCGGATTTGTAAGGTAGAACTGGGTCATGGTAGTGGGGGAGAGGAAACTAGAGGTATGATGTGTGTTTTGTCTGTGCTATATTGCACCTGGTTGAATTGTCCCTTCCTTGTAACCCTTCTGTGGGGGAGGATGAGACTGTAACTCGTTAAGGGAGTAGAAAGCACTGTGTTCTCCCTCATACGGCTTGGTGGTTTCCAACTGCTGACCTTCTCTTTAGTAGCCCAATGCTTAACCACTGTATCACCAGGCTCCTACCCAAGACCAGCCAGCAAAGAAAAAGTGTAAATTCTATGACAGAGCTACAAACAGACTTGCTTCTGGTTTAGAAGGGAGGGAAATTTCATGGAGGAGATAGGATGTCAGTCCTGATGGACTGAGCTTGTTGCAATAACAAACAGCAGTCAACTACGGATGGCTTACTACTTCAAACGCTTTTTTCTCTTCCATGCTAGAGTCAGTGTATGACAGCAAGGGTCCCTGGCTGACAGAGGCTCCATCTCATCATGTGCTCCAAGCATCATCATTGCAAGGGGGAGAAAGCCTCCGTATGTCTCGACTCAAACAAGGTATGTAGTCCTCATTTGTCATATCCTTGGCTACACACACCTACCTGGATCAGGGGTAATTCTCGATTTTCATCTGGGCGGTCCAGGCTTGATTCCCAGCCAATGTACTTCATGTACCAGACCAAAAAAATCCAACTTTACTGCTACCGTCTCGTTTACGACTCACAGAAACCTAATAGGACAAAGTAGAGCTGCCCTTGAGAGTTTCAGAGACTGTAAATCTTAACGGGAGAGCCCTGTCTTTCTCCTGAGGCGTGCCTGGTGATTTCCATCTGCAGCCGAACACGCGGCCACGATGCCACCAGGGCTCCTACTTCATTACTTCATGCCCAGCCACCACTCATCCACTAAGTGGGAGCTTGTGTGCTGCTATGATGCCGAACAGATTTTAGGGGAGAAAGTGTCGAGAAAACATGGAGGAGGCTGTAGAATCTGGGGAGGGAAGCTATGTAAGGCCTAGAAGTCGTACCAGGATCCAGGGAAAGCGAGTGTTTGCTCAAGGGACGCCGGTTTCAGGAACGCTTGCAAAGCCTTGGGCCCTGACCAGAAGGGATGTGATTGCGTAACGTGGTGCACGGGAAGAGGAGGCAGCCATGGCTACCAGGAAGAGAAGCCGGCGACAGCGTGAGGGTGCGGCTGGGTCAAGGGGCAGTTTTAGTCCTTGTTTGGTTTTGAAGGGGACATAATTGAGTCTTAGTCACGAAACAAGGTGCCTGAAGTGAAGGACACAGTGGAGAGAAGATCGAAGATAGAAGAGGGAGAGAGCAATGGTGGTTGGACTGGAGGCGGTGGATGACGGACTTTTGGCTGGAGGCCTGGGCACGGTTTTCTTTCACGACCGAAAGCAAGTAAGTGACGTGACGACCGTTTGTCCGGGTTAAATACTCTGGTGTGGGCAGCTGCCTTCCAGTGGCCTGGACTTGTGACCTCAAGCCCCATGCCCACCACCTGCTGGGGGCGGGAACGTCACCATCCCTAAGGTTTCCTTGGCTGCTTTGTCGGAGAAGGCTTGCTAGGTCTTCCCTCAAGGCCCGCGGGGGCACTTCTTCGGGGCACGGCTGACAAAGCGACTGTCATCCCCCCGT